TCCAGGGTCATAGAAAATGAACAGGCAGAACAGACGCTAGAGGGCCCAGTGTCTGTGAGAACTGACCAATGGCATACAGAATACATGCAAATTAATATGCAAATGAGTGCTCTGGTTTTTTTACGGGCTGCACATCGCACTCACTCAAACTTGCAAAGTCTGGCCAGGGGATCTGCCACACGCCCTTCAGCGGCCCCAGGGAGAAGCCCAGGCAGAGCAGGCAGTAGCTGAGATGACCTCCTGTGCCCTGGAGCAGAGCTGAGTGGACGCGGGTGGGGAGAAGGGTGAGGAGGCGCCCGCCCGAGATGACCCCGGGAACAGGCCCTGAGGACTCGGGATGAGCAGGTCAGCCTACAGAGAGGGCACTGGTGAGTGCTCACCCTCACACTCCACCCAGCCCCCCAGCCCAGCCCGAATGAGAGAGAACCATGGATCGGCTGCCTCCTGCACGCCCCAGACACTGAGGATCAAGCCCGCAGCCTGGGCATGTGCCCTGACCAAGGATTGAACAAGCCCTCCTGGTTCATAGGTCCACACAACCTCTGAGCCATGCTGGCCGGGCTCTCACTGATGTTTCTGTCTCCCTTTCTCTCTTCCTCTCTAAAATCAATAAAAAAATGCCCTAGCCAGTTTGGCTCAGTGGATAGAGTGTTGACCTGCGGACTGAAGGGTCCCAGGTTCGATTCCCGTCAAGGGCATGTACCTTGGTTGTGGGCACATCCCCATTAGGGGGTGTGCAGGAAGCAGCTGATCTATGTTTCTCTCTCATTGATGTTTCTAACTCTCTATCCCTCTCCCTTCCTCTCTGTAAAATATCAATAAAATATATTTTAAAAAAATAAAATCAATAAAAATATATTTCATTTTTTATAAATACTTTTTATTGATTTCAGAGAGTAAGGGAGAGGGAGAGGGAGAGATAGAAATATCAATGATGAGAGAGAACCATTGATCAGCTGCCTCCTGCATGCCCCACACTGGGGATCGAGCCCACAACCCGGGCCTGTGCCCTGACCAGGAATCAAACCTTGACCTCCTGGTTCATAGGTCGACATTCAACCCCTGAGCCATGCTGGTCGGGCTAAAAATACATTTAAAAAAAGAAGATGTAACAGCAGCAGCGGCAGCTGGCAGCCATCGAGAGTCAAATCCCAGCCTCAGGACCATTCCCACTCCCATCTCTGTCCAGGAACAGGCCCCATCCTCAGCCTCAGCCATTGGGGTGAAAGTGCCACCTTGCTCCAGAACCTCCCAGGGAGACCCCTCGGCCTGAAGCTGGGCTGACCCCACCACTACCTCTTTGAGGGTCGACGGGGTCTTCGGGAAAGGCCTGCCTCCCGTGAGTGAGTGGTATCTTCTCTCCAACATCGTCAGCTTCTCCTTCTCCTGCAAACCCAAAGTAGCAGAGAATCAGAAAGGAGTGGGGGTGACGCAGGGAGGAGACGCAGCGAGCAAAGGGGGAGCCCTGCACCCTCCCACCCCCCAGCTACCTTCTGCAGCAGCTGCAGGGAGGCATTCTTGTCCCGGGCCAGGTGCTCGGACTCCTGCACGGCCTGAGCCCGGATCTGCCCGGCCTGACTGTCCAGCACTGCCAGGCGCTCCTGGAGGGGACCGAGGTGGTCAGTCGGGCCCTGGGGAGCCAGGGCTGAGCCCAAGGTGAGGCTCGGCTGTCTCCCCAGACCCTAGGCTTCAGTGAAGAATCCACCAGCTCTCTGCTTGGCCTCCGCTCACCCCAGGACAACCCAGGCTGCTGTGGTCAGCTACCCCCACCCCTCCCTTGACCAGTGAGTGACCCTGTGCCACCAAGCACACCAGCCAGAACCCACGTCCTCAAATCTCCCCTCCCTCCTCCCACCCAGTCAACACGTGCAGAACCTCACAGATGTGGACGTTCTCCCGCCTCCGCGCCACCACCCACACCCAGGCCCACGCTTCCCCAGCCTGGACTTCATCAGCCTCCTCCTGCCAGCTCTCAGCTTTCTGATCTGTCCCACACGCCACAAATACCTGTCTAAAGTGGCCTCTGAGGTTTGTTTTTGCTTGCTTGCTTATCTGAATTTTCTAATCTCTTTTTTTTTAAACATATTTTATTGATTTTTTAGAGAGAGGAAGGGAGAGAGATAGAGAGTTAGAAACATCGATCAGCTGCCTCCTGCACATCTCCTACTGGGGATGTGCCCGCAACCCAGGTACATGCCCTTGACCGGAATCGAACCTGGGACCTTTCAGTCCGCAGGCTGACGCTCTATCCACTGAGCCAAACCGGTTTCGGCAATTTTCTAATCTCTTAAGGAGAACATATATTACTTGAATACATTTTTAAAATACGTTTTTATTGATTTCAAGAGGAAGGGAGAGGGAGTAAGAGAGGGACAGAAACATCAATGATGAGAGAGAATCATTGATCAGCCGCCTCCTGCATGCCCCACACTGGGGATCCAGCCCACAACCGGGGCATGTGCCCTGACCAGGAATTGAACCGTGACCTCCTGGTTCATAGGTCTACACTCAACCACTGAGCCACACCGGCCGAGCTGAATAATTTTTTTTAATTCCACGAGTAAAGTTAGATCACTCCTCTCCTGAAACTCTCAGTGACTCCTCGTTACTCTCAGGATGAAGCACAAACTCCTCAGCCAGCACTCAAGGGCGCCCAGACCGGGGTCTACACTTTTCAGCCCCTCCCACCTGAGCCCTTTGTTCTCAGTTCGGCCCGCTGTACCCTCCACTGCAAAGCTGTGTCCTCGGGCCTTGCTCCCACTGTCCCTGTAGCCCGAGAGCCGTGCCTGCCTCCTTCGCCCATCGAGAGCTGACTTATCCTCCACGACTGGTCCAAGTGCTCTCTTTTCTCTAATATCTTCCTTGATTACCACTCAATTCCTTTGCTCCTTCAGGACTCACACTCTTCTGTATCACCATTTGCCTGTGTGACTATTACTTGTGAATATACATCTCCATCACCACCACCCAGGGTGTCAGATCCAAGAGCATGGCAAGTGTCTCTTCTACCTCCACATCCCCAGTAGGACTTAGCACAATGCCCGGCTCAACAAGCATGAGCTAAAAAAAAAAAGGATAATAAGTGAGAGAAAAGGACAGGGCCTGGGAAAATGGCTGGGTTAATCCCGGAGGCTTCCTGAAAGAGAGGTCTTAAACCACTAACAACCCTGAAGAGCAAGACATGGGAGGGGGAGAGAAGAAGGAAGCCGACCTAAATCTGGGGTCAGCCTAGAAAAGACTGAAGCAGAGGAGGCAGTGGTTCTCACAGCAAGATCTGCTGTTTCCAGTTTACCGAGAACCTATTAAGGGCCCAAGAACTCTACTAAATGCTTGCATTTGTTACCTCCTTTTTTAAAAAATATTTTTTTATTGATTTGAGAAGAAGGGAGAGGGAGAGACAGATAGAAACATCAATGATGAGCGAGAATAATTGATCGGCTGCCGCCTGCACACCCCATACTGGGGATCAAGCCCGCAAGCTCGGCATGTGCCCTGACTGGGAATCAAACCCTGACCTCCTGGTTCATAGGTCAACACTCAACCACTGAGCCATGCCGACTGGGCTATTACCTCCTTTAACTGTCTTCTGAGGCAGGTGTCTTTGTGCCCATTTTACTGATAAGAACACTGGGTACTTAGGAGGTAAGGTAACTTAGTAAATGGTAGCGTTCGGATGAGAACCAGGTCAGTTGGACTCCAAAGCCATCCTCTGAGCCACCCTGATCCCCATGGAGAGGACAGGGAAGCCCAGGGCACCACGGCAGACGGAGGCTGGGGCAGGCGGGGTGGGGGTGGGGACACTGGGAGCCAAGAAGACAGCTGAGCAAGGCTCCCGAGGAGAAGCACAGGGGAGAGTATGACCCTGGGTCCCAGTGGCAGAGCCCTCGTTTCCTGGGGGCCTGGGTGGGCATGAGTGGGAGGGACCAGGGGTCCAATATACCCGCCCTCCCAAATTCCCTGGAGCTTATGCCCACCCAGACCTGGAATCCATGGGATTAGCCGCTCCAAGGCTCCCTGGAGTGTGCTCTCCAGCAGGAAAGGGAAAGAGGCCAGAGGAGCGCCAGCCCGCAGCCCCGTGCAGCGTCGTGGGAAGGAACAGGGCTTTGGGGCCAGGCAGGCCTGGGTTCCAATCCTGACTCTGAAGCTTAGAAGCTGGGAGGCTTGGGGCAAATCTGGAGCTTCTCTGAACCCTGGTTTCCATGTATGGGGTGGAGCAAACGTAGGTGTACAGACCTGTACAAAAGTTGTGAGTACATGAAACGGAGTCTATTCCTGTATTATTTATCAACTAGAGGCCCAGTGCACGAAATTCATGCGCTCGGGGGGAGGGGTCCCCCGAAGCTCAGCCTGCCCCTGTTGTAGTCTGGGAGCCCTCGAGGGATGTCCAACTGACGGCCTAAGCCAGCAGTCAGACATCCTTAGGACTGCTACAGAGGTGGGAGAGGCTCCCGCCACCGCCGCTGCACTCGCCAGCTGTGAGCCCGGCTTCTGGCTAAGCAGCGCTCCCCCTGTAGGAGCACACTGACCACCAGGGGTCAGCTCCTGCATTGCGCATCTGCCCCCTGGTGGTCAGTGCATGTCATAACGACCAGTCGTTCAGAGGTTTGGTCAATTTGCAATTAGCCTTTTATAGGAAGGATTATTGTATAACTGTCCATACAAACATCTGTAAACCTACTTTTGCCCAACTCTGTATATAAATAGAATAAGAGGCCCTAGCTGGTTTGCCTCAGTGGATACAGTGTCGGCCTGTGGACTGAAGGGTCCCAGGTTTGATTCCAGTCAAGGGCACATGCCCAGGTTGCAAGCTCAATTCCCAGTAGGGGGCATGCAGGAGGCAGCTGATTAATGATTCTCTCTCATCATTGATGTTTCTCTCTCCCTCTCTCTTCCTCTCTGAAATCAATAAAAACATTTTTTAAAAATAAAAATAAAACGGGTGAGAGTACTGGGCTGAGACCACCCTAAGCTAAGGTCGGAATGAGCTAACACGAGGCCTTCTCACACACCCGTGGCTTGGGAAGTGAGAACTGTTTTCCTGCCTGTCACCTGCCTCACATTGGAAGCGGATGCAGTTGTAAGGCAGAGCAGCGTAGGAGAGAACCAAGGGATCTGAATGCAGGGGGAAGGCCAGTGGCTCCCCACTCACACCAAACCCAGGCTAGCTGTCAAGTCCCAACTCACCACTTTTCGACACCCCTCTCATTCTCACTGTCCTCCCATCCCACCCACTCATCCCAGCCAGGTGAACTGCACAAGCATGTGCGTATGCACGGGCATGCAAGGCTCAGCCACAGGCTCGGAAGCCCCCCTAGCCATCTTTCCCATTCTCCTCCCCTGACGTCTTTCCTAACCTTTGGCTTAAACACGAG